TAAAGACTTATAGCAGTTTGTAGCAAGTATTTATAATAAAATATCAGATTCATTTTTAATTCGATTACAAGTATATCAGGATTTAGCCGAAGGTGCTGTACATATTCACATGCATGTAAGGGATTTTCCGATGGCATAATTCGGTTAAATTAGTTCTGAGATAATAGATAAATGCTGTTTCAAAGTCACATGTTATGCAGATATCCATTTCACATATCACCTGTGATTTATGCTTTAAGAGGTGTTGATCATCAAACTATGCAAAATCAAGATTATATTTGTACGATGTCAGAACTCAAATCACATATGTTAAAAAACATTAGGCCCAATGTAGGCAAAACTTTATTATTTTTCATTGGTAAGGATTTTCATTATTTTTACTGTGGAATGATAACCACATATGTCTAGAATACATTAAAACATGGAAAAACTTCGGCAAGTGTGAACAGGCGATCACACTTTGAGTAAAATTTGGCTTATCTGAAATCCAGAAAAATTTCGGTAGCTGTGAACATATGTTCACACTTGAGTAAAATTTGGCGCAGTAAACAAATACATACACTAGAAATTTATTTTTTTTTTGATTTTTTTGATGTATAAGTCACACTAAAAATAATAGAATAATACTAAACTAAGAAATAATTTTCTAATATTAACATGCTAAATTGTAATATCATATCATAAGAATTTCATCGATATCCTCCGGTATAGGGTTTAAATCATAAAGGAAGGAATCCTCGGGTAAATACAACCAATCGCGTATCCTTTCAGTATTTTCAATTGAAATGGATGAATAGATTTTCTTTCGCAATTTCTCCTGTTCTTTAAATTCAGCTTGAATTATTGCGAAAAAGTTGAAAATTTTTGTATAATATGAGATTGAATCGAAAGAAAATGGAATCATGCAAGAAGCGAGTTCGACGGCCAAGTACTTCTTTTGGTCTGTGATTGATACAGAAAACAATGTAAGCCGATCGCCAACAACTTGGATGTTATAAGTCTTTATTCCTTTAGCATCCTTTGCACTACAATCTAAGTTATTGCCAAATATTCTGCAAAGACTGCATATGGACATCATTAGCAACTTCTTCACATCTCCGACTGTGTGTGAGATTGTGGCTTTAAACGGAGGACCTGATACCTCTGTGTTCAATATTTCCATTCCATCTGACAAACGTACAACAAATAAATCCGTCTTTCGTGGGCTGATATCAACTGCGAACATGTTATTAGCCTCTCTTATCGAAGTGACGTTCTTCTCAATCCAATCGTACTTAATTTCTGGAAATGCGTTTCGAAATGCTCGGAATATAGGAGATAAGCATTCAACAATAAATGTTCGCTCAGACATGTCACGATCTAGGACTCTTGGTAACCTATATTTGAAGTTTGCAGTGAAATCTAAAAGTGTGTACCGTACAAAGAAGTTGAACCTTGCCACCTCTGACTGGTTATCCCCTTCAACAATTGTCTCATTTATGATCTTTGATTCGATTTTTGCGTAATCTGTTTCAAATATTGATTCAAGCTTCTTAACAAAGGATTCCTGCAAAACCAATCGATTTTTCATTAGAAACAATTTTTCAATTTCTCTATAAGTTCCCTCATCGATGGTTTCCTTAACATGATTTATTGTTGCACTGAATACACAAACAAGGTATGGTGAATATTTATCACACATCACTTTCGTTACAACTGGTTTGTTTGGTGTATTGATCAAAACTTGTTGTGTCGGTTGAACTACTGGACATGGTGTAGACTCACGTGAAGTGGAAAAATATTCTGACATATCAAATGACGTCGGGGTTTGCTGGGGTGTACTTTGCGCGATATCTTCTGAATTATTTAATGAAGTTATGGTTGGTTGAGCTTGGAGTGTACTTGGACTGGTTTCAACCAAAGTAGTATCTTCCGAGATATTTGATGTCATGGTTAGTTGAGCCGAACTTGGAGTATTTTTATCCTCTGAAGTTTCTTCAATAATGTCGTCTTTGTCCATACCATCACGCTCCACTTTTCTACGTGATCGGTTTGACCTTGGTTTTTTATTCTTAATAGGTTCCGAATCAAAGTCAGAACATTTATGATCATGCGCGAAACAGTAAAAAAAAAAATATCAAATTACTTACTCTCCTAGGTTTCTCTATGTAATCTGGATCTGATGAATGATCCTCTTCCTTTGAACTTTCAGTATGACTATGACTATAACATATGGATTTTCTTTTTCCGGTCGATCTCTTTCAACAAGAAAAGTCATAAATCAGTTTTAACGTAATTATTCTTTAATCCTTAACCGGACTCACCTTTTTTGTTGTTGCTAAATGAGCTTCCGCGGTCTCCTCAGCTATGTTCTCCATCATACATTGCGTCTTATTACTTATATTGACATGGCACTGTTTCTGTACAAGTATATCATTTAGTAAAATCTCAAAGAGTTATTCAGCCAAAAGTATGCTTACTGTTCGCACAGATCTTTCTGACTCTAGACGTTGCTTTTCTTTATTATTATACATTAACTCGATTTCGTTCCAGAAGTTATTGACATCTTCATTATGGAATCGATGTTTCTGATAAAAAAAAAGAAATAAGTTAATACAAAGTTTGTGATTGCTAAGATGCTCGTGTGAAAAAAAATGTTTAATTGTTTTATTTGTTTCGCAGACCACAACGGACAAGAAGACCATAAGGTAGAAAGCAATAAGGTTTCCACCGTAGTTGTGTGAGTTTAACCCCTTCTCAGGACTACTGGGAGTCTCCCATACTGCTTGTGGCAGACCACAACGGACAAGAAGACCATAAGGTGGAAAGCAAGAAGGTTTCCACCGTAGTTGTGTGAGTTTAACCCCTTCTCAGGACTACTGAGAATCTCCCATACTGCCTTTAGAATAAATTAAAATCACTTGCCTCAAAGCCTTGGATCAGCCGAGTAGCACCCTTCTTAATATCTTCTGAACGATTATCTTTTATCAACAAGTCAAGACTCTTTCTGAGTATATCGGCCTCTTTACGAAAAGAGAATGTAAAATTTTGTTGGTTTTGACGGTGTTTATAAAAGCCCAGAAATCGGTATTGATTAGGCGATGTTTCATCGAAGTAGCTATCCCACGACATTATAGCACATGCAGATGGAAATTTCTTTTCAGTATATTAGTAAACGAAGATTATAAATTTGAATGAAAAGTCAGGAAAATTTTTTTTTGGGATTATTGGATATACATGTATATATCATGTGATAAGCGTTAAGATTCTCTATTAATGAGCGATGAAAAAAATAAATACAAGTGCAAAACTAGCTTGATAAGCTTTATGCTTAGTGTTATTAATCGGCGCGAATCTATATCGCCAAAAGCTTTGAGAGATGGCGAGGCTGGCAAGGACTTAAAAAAATTTAAGTCGATTAACAACACTATTTATGCTACGATTGCGAACTTGAGTTTATTGCTTGAACTGTTGCAGGTAAGACAATATTCTGTTCCATACCATTCACCATGTAATCCATAATTCCCATG